ATGGGGAATTTATTGTGGTTTTGAATACAATTCATCTTCAGATGATCTTGACTTAAATCAATATTGGTTAGGTATGTCACAACAATTACCACTGTTTTCAAAAATTGTGTTGGATTACATTTGACTTCCTATTTCAAGTTGTAGTGTGGAGAGAAGTTTTTCTGAATATAATTCTCTTTTGGATAGTGTTCACCAGAATTTATCAATTGATTCATTAAAGAAATTAAATATGATGTATTTCAATTCTTAAATACAATCAAATAAATTTTTTAAATAATTGCACAATTGGAACTTTTGGTGCATAATTTATGCATAATTAACTTTTATTGCATGCATAATTGACATTTTATTGCCACATAAAATCATCGTCCTTGCTTTGATTTTCATAGTGTGTGACCCTGTATGACCTCTAATGGTATTCATGAATACAAACCCTATCTCCTTTTGGTTGTGCTTCGTTTTTGGCATTCACCATATTTAGCAAAAATTTGTTGTTTGGCAAATGTTTTGTTTCATATACTATTCTTTACAATCATGCATTGAATTGCAATGCTTTGCAATAAATGATTGCAATGATCAGGAAGAAATCTATGTTTTTCAAACTTAATTTTTTGGGAAGGAATTTTTTGTTTTTGCTGGGTGGTAAATATTTTTTTATTTTTTCTGAAATCGATCTACATGCGTGATTTTAAATACCTTTTTTCACGTGATAAACTTTATTGTGCAATATGTGCAATTTCGAAGTGGAGAATTGTTTATTTAAGAAAAAGAAAAGCATTGTTTTATCTTTTGGCGATTCTGATTAGTTGGCATTAGCAAGTATTTAAAAAATCAACAATAGAATTAATTATTGTTTTTGAAACAAGTTTACAACTAGAGATGGGCATTATGCAACTTTTTTTGCATTATGCGCATGATGATATTTTCTATAAATGATTTATTAAGTTCTATCAATAAAATTAATAATTGAGTTGTTAACTAAATGGGCTGCTTAAGATAAAGATGAAGAGGAAGAGGAAGTAGAAATCTCAGATTGTGGTGACTGCAAATTATTCATAATTATAGTTTGATTTTGTTGAAAATGTTCATTAAGTACATGACGTGAAACTTTGGTACATTTTTTAAGGTGTTGTTCACAATGGCTTGAAGCAGCAAGCAATTTATGTGAACAATAATTACATTGAGCTCCTTCTTGTTTATAAGTGGCCTCATGGCCAAGCTTTGTAAAATTTTACTAAGTGGAGGCATAAAATAGTAATATTTTTTTGTATAACATTACACATAATGCAATTTTGCCCATCTCTACTACAGACAGAAATTCTGAGATCTTTAATGAATATTAATTACACTATTACCCAAGTAACACCTGCAAAAACCAAGGGTAACAGCTTGTTACTGGTTTGAGGTTGGGCAACAAATAAGATAAATTAATTATTATATGTGAGGATTGAACTAGTATCTTAACCTAACCAACAATATAGTTGATTAATTAATTAAATCACTTGGACAACATAAATCAGATTCCACATATTCACAATGACTGTTTAAAATTAAGCAAATAATAATTTTTATATTTTATTATTATTAATCATGAATAAAAATATACATGTATATACAATAAAGATTGCATTTAAAATTGTATCATAAATATCAGATATTCTTGATAATTTAAATATTTGCAAAAATAATTAATCCAATCATTCATCCATTTACTAACACTATCCATAACATTAACATTATTACAAACAATGTCGTGGGCACAAATTTGTGCACTCTACCTATATATAAAAAATGAAAAAAAAAAAATCAATATTTTGATATAATTGTAATTATAGTTTTATATTATATATATACCTCATCTTCACTAAATTGTTGTGATAATGATTGTGATGATGATTGTGATGATGATTGTGATGATGGTGGTGACGAGGAGTCCTATAAATATAAGTAAATAAATAAATAAAATGTTATGTCTACTACTAATGTTTCAGTTTATACTTACTCGGCGGCGGCGTTTTTTATATGGTGGACCAATATTGTAATCCATTTGTCTCCTAATTCGGAGATCATACCTTCTCTAAGATTCAAAAAAAAAAAATAATATATATATAAGTTGACAAAAATAAAAATAAATTGACATATACTAATAAACAGGAATACTTTTACGTTATAATTATCAACTGGTAATGTTGATTCATTGTTATTATTTATCATATAATCATCAGATGCTAACGTTGATTCATCTGGAATATTGTTATTATTTATCGTATAATTATCAGATGCTAACGTTGATTCGTTATTATTTATCATATAATTATCAGATGCTAACGTTGAGTCATCTGGAACATTGTTATGATTATCAGGTGTTGGTTCGTTGAGAATATCGTTATTATTACTAGATGACGAATTAAGGATACCGGCTGCAACTTTTGATGATGGTTGCTACCATCTTTGCGTCATATAAAAATGATTGCAACCGCTGG